CGATCAATCGGAAAGTGGATAAAAACAGAACCAATTTCCATTTAAATATCTTTGCAATAGGTGACTTAGTCTTCTTTCTTCTTAATGTTTTATATACCATTTTGTAGCTTGTAAAATTCTCTATCGAATGGTATATTATAGTTGGGGTTTTGTTTGATTATGAGAGGAAAAATGTTTTGTGAAAAGCGAGATAGGTCAATGTTCGCATAGAAAAGCATAGGGAATAATGACTCTTTTCCCGATAACTCAGCAATGGCTCGACGAATCATTCTCATCTTCGAACTCGATCGAGATATTGATGAGACGCAACTATGTAGAAAATTTCATCGCGATCGGACTCTCCTTTCGAAAGTTATCATGTAAACGGCCGGACGGCCGGACACACTGACCGATTCTATAGTGTACTCACTTTTTGAGTACACAAAAACATCATTTTCGCTAACTAATGCTGACCTTTGAATAGTGATTTGAGTTTATACTTGGCAATTTTCGTCGAGAAATAAGAAGCGGCGAGTTATGATGAGCCATATATGGCTTATGTTTCTTCTTTCATTTTATAAAGAAAATATGTTCTATTATGTGATTTAAAATGTTTTCGGATCGGCTTTGTTCTCTGAAACTAGCACTCATCGTTTCATACATTTTCAAGTGTTGAAGGTTCCCCAATTCTGTCATGGAAAACTTATCTTGTTCTTCTAATATTATCGTGGTTCTCGATTCTGACATTCCATGAGTTTGCACAATCCCTATGCTTGAATCTCATTAAAACAGAAACAACATTTCGTCATTAAAGTTACTCGGGCATCGACAATTGAACTTCAGATTGTGAACAGAATCCCAAAATTTTCTATTGGCCTAGAACTGTTTTCAAAATATTGAAAACTGAGGAGCAGAGTGATTGTTGCAGGTTATGTGTTATGAAAAGCTTATTGGAGTGAAAATTTTCAAATTGATTCTATTTTTAGAGAAAAGTGGATGAACATTTATGGTTATTCTTGTCTATCTCAACTGTATAATGATTATATCAATCTAATTTATCCGGTACCAATATGGTTCTTTCTAATTATTCATGAAGATTATATTTATGACCTACCGTTGCGGTTGTTTGAGCTTATCAGTTCTGTGATAGCCAGTATTGGACAAACTTCCGAGTTAGGCTTGACATGTCCAGATACTGTTTGTGGCAGTAAACATACACCACCATAAATTTGACACCATGTTCTGTTGCTAATATTCATGAATGCAGCAGGCACCCATGAGCACGTCAAATCATGAGCTTTTTTACACAGAAAATTGTATAGAGAAATAATATGGATACTCCACTTACCGAAATCTAGCTGGTCGTTCGATTCTAATGACACACCCAACTTTTCAACTGCACTCATTAATATTCGTTTGTGATCTATCAGTGCCTTATGAATGAACGAAACGAGTTGAGCCGCTTCATTGCTAACGGATTGACAAGACCACAAAGCTGAATTTGCTTTGCTGCTGCTGCAAAGCCACCTATCTATATATTTTCGTGCTTGATCCTTCTCTTTGGAGTGACAAAATTTGCACACGCCTTTGACTAAATTCTCAACTACTTCAGTATCAACATTTGCAAGTTCTGAACTTATCATTTTGCGAAAATCTGACTCCTCGTCATATGAAAGATCGATGTTAGACTGATCGATTTCTTCTAAGATTTTCATCCGGAAGTGTTGAACATTATCACTGGTGTCTAAAGGATACTCTATTTCACTACGTTGTTTAGACAAAGAGTCACATATATTGCGAACATCAATGTCTTCCGCAATGTTCTTTTGCAGAGATTTATAAAATTGTCGGATAAAATCGACCAAGGCGCCTAATTTAACTAGCTCTTTAAGACGAAGAAGTTCAGGAAAATATGCACCGATTTCGTTATAGTTGTCTGTGAAAGATTTAGCAAAATTTGCTTCGGAAGATTGATCTTCACAATTGTTGAAGCGATTATCATCGATAAGATTCCCTTCATCATCATATTTCAATAGATGTTGCTTGACGTACATGGGTACGTCGCCTATCCGGTAAATAATATCATTTGCTTTTTGGTCAATCGTAACTTCGTCAATGGGATCACCTGCTTCGATCCAAAAACGATGGATATTACCATAACTAAGTTTTCTGTCACGCTTGTAAAGCGGCTTTAATAATTCCTGTAGACGTTTAGGCAGACGCTTCATAAAACCCTCGCTTGCCTCACGCATAAGAAAAGGTGCTTTGGCATTTACTTCTATACCCATTGTAATGAACTTAAGAAGGTAGTCAGCGTGAAGCAATGTTATCAGATATTGTGTATTGATGAGATTCGCAGGTGCATATCTCATTCTTTGAAACGGATGCCAAAGAAACTCGTTATCTGGTTGGTTGAGTGTAAAAACTGCTTTTGTAATCCCTTTTTTAAGGACATCGGCAATATCATCACTACCAAAAAGGGCAATTGACTCCATACGCCTAGCAGGAACAAAAAGAAATGTAATTTCACCTGTGTTGATATTTATCTTAATGCCATCAACTTTAGAGTAATGCTTGGATCCAGATATAAAGAGAGGTTTCTTTTTATTTGAAAGCCAACCATCAGGTGTTCGTGGAATCAACGGATTATTTAATAATAGTTCAACATTTGACACTTTCCAATGTTTGCTTTCGAGTAGAGATTGTATCGATTGCTGTCGAGCAGATTGAAAGCTAATACTTCTAATCCAATTCTTCCAGACTCCTTCCAAAATGAAGTATTGGTAAACAAATGATTGACCATTGTGGGTTTCATCACTCATTGCTTTCCAATATAATTGGAGAAATTCGCGTCCGATCTCATCTAGGAACATTATATCGTAGCTGAGGAATGGTCGTAGTTGCATAAGAGGTGCTAATTTGGCAAACCTAATTGTATACTTGAGAAGTTGACTTATGATAGTAGTTTGTCGAGGAGATATGATGTAATCAACATTACCTTCGCGTTGAGTAGTATCTTTCGACTTTATCAATTGAGTGAACAGACGACTTGTATTTATGAACAGTGATAAAACCTGTTTATAGATGTAAATCTGCATATTTGGTGCTAGATGTTGGCGTGCAAGTAAAAATGCGTTAATAGCAAGTTCATTAATCATATTTCGATAAGCATAAACTCTCGCTTGTTCCTGTGCATTTGAAGTCATTCTTGATAAACTCTCATAAAGATAGATGCAAGCTAAAATCCAATTCGATGCAATACAAACTGGGTTACATACAGCCATGGATAGATCTATATAAGCCATGGCCGATTGGAATGGATCTTCGCTCATCTGTTTTATGATTCCATTTTCATATTGGTGAACAAGTGTAGGTAGCAAGCTTGGTTTTAGTAGATTATTATACTCGAATACTTTGGGTGGAGAAGTGATCGATGTAAGAAGTCTCATGGTTTCGTTCTGATTTCCTATTGGCAAGCTGATCAATTCGAATAAAAGTGCTTGAGTTAGACTCTTATGAAATAATGGATCCTTTGCTACAATGACTAAAGCATTTAAAACGTCTTCATCCCAACAGCATATCTGCGCTTGCTGTAGCTTCTGTATGAAGCCAGCATATTTTCCTTTCAGTTTGTCAATCGTAGCGTCGACTAAGTACAACTTTGCACGAATGATAGGTGGGACATGACTCATCGGTAAGGTATCACGATATTCGTTTATAAAATTCTCAAGAGTAATGGCACTTGTTATTTCTTGAAGACACAGAGCAAGTTCAATAATAGAAACATTCATGGCCATTTTAATACTTTGATAGTTTTGAAAATTTACATATTCTTCGTATTGCTTTTGAAGTTTAATAATTTCTATGCTAGAAGCAGAAGCAGCTTCAAGAAAATGAAGACCACCTACGAATGCTTTAGAACTTATCAACAAGCCATTGATAGCACGCACATGTAAATGAACCAGAGGAAGAGGCAGACATTGCTCCTTCTGACAAAAATGATAAAGTGTTGATATAATGAATTGTTGGACGGATTGGTGTTTCGCATCAAGAACCTTACAAATATAGTTTATGCAGTCGCAAACCACAGATGAGATGCCTTGGGCCATTTTGTAGATAACCACAGTATACCAAAGGGCGACAGAATCCGACAGGTTTGATATTAACGAGAGAATATGTTCGAAGACTGTAGCAGAGCTATCTGATGAATCTCGCACAGCTTTAATGTAACAATTGAGAGCTGTATTATAATTTGCCATCTCCAAATAGTTGCGTCCGAGTTCCATCCATTTGTATTGAGTCAAACCTTTTAGATCGAATGCTATGGAATTATTTTCGAATATACCTTGGTCAATCCAATCAGTAGATACTGATAAACCCAACTCTACTTGAATTTTATGACATATCAATACTTTGTCATATTGTTGCGGTTTGCTTAGATATTGTTCTTTCAGTATGCTCCAGACATCATTTCGGTTTTCTAAATGCACAAATGCAGCAATGACGAGAATATCATTAATATTGGTAAGACTTAGGACAGGTTCAAGTCGTTTCAACATAGATATTTCGGTCTTATTAATCTGTTCACTAAAAAAGCGCGTCACAGAATTTCCTTGATTTGCTATATCTTGAATTATTTTATGATCTAGAGTCTGAAGAAGAGTAGCTGCACTATTATATTTTGAATTCGAAATCAAATTTTGGATTATCTGTACCCATTCAGCACTAGTAAGTCGAGCTAAATGCAAACAACAAATTCCAATCGGACGTGTGTGTGGTTGAGCGAGTCGGAATATACCGTTGGCTTGCCATTCTGCCGATGTTTGGTTATAAGCTTTAACCACATAGAGTACCATTAGAAGTCTAGCATGATTGACAGGCTCGCTGGCAGCTTTTCGCAAAATACCGTACCAACTCAAAAGGGCTTCTCGATAGGCTAATATAGCTAGCTCAGTTGTATACAAAGAATCCGATAAATTGGCTTGTTGTCGTCGATAAGTGTCGCCTAAAGAAACCCAGTAATGTGAACGTCGTTGAAATCTGTGGGAGATATTTCGGTAACAAGTTGCCACTTCATCGTATAAACCCAAATGGCACATCATCTCAGCCAATGAAAGACATTCTTTTTCTGATTGGTGCATATGATCAACGAATTGAAAGGCGATATGAAACTGTTGGTGATAGAGCAACACAGATATAATGTGCTCGAAAAAATCATTGTCATTAAATCCATATGCTTTAAGGAGGGCTAGATATTCAGGTAGATATTCGTATTTCTCTAATTCTACTTGCTTGTGTATATAATGATGAATTACACCAATAACAATTTGCACCTTTTTTGGTGCACATCTTTTACAAATAATCACTGGAGATAAATAACCAATATGGCGGCATACCTGCCACAATCGACATTTACCACAAATCAATTCTTCACACATTCGACAACGATGCTTCTGTCTGAAAAAGTTGAATGTTTTGTAGCAGTTTGAGCACTTTGACTTATTAATATAGACGAAATCTGTAGACAATTTTTGTGGAACATCATAAACAAGATGTTTGAGAAGGGGATGATTATGATCCTTTACAATACACACAATACCATAATGGCGATATTCATGATTGTTACTCGAATCTGATCTGAAACTCATTGTGGGCATCACTGTGTAAAGATGGTTGTCATTGTCAATCAAGTTTTTCAGACTACTGACATCTGGCAAAGTGCCCAGAGTTTTTGAGGAGACGAGAGCCTCTGCTATTTTTTGTATATCTGAATCAGATTTTTGTAGTAGGTGATAGAACTTACGATCAGTATCATCAATGTTGACGAGAATATTATGTACGTTTTTTATTTTTTCAACAACAGCCTTGAAGTTTTCCCATTCAGAACTTTCCCACAGCTGTCTGTGCATGGGTGAAGCTTGTTCAATGGGCTGCCAGTTCCAACCAACTGGAGATATCTTGGCTAATTGTACGTCGAGATCGTTACCATGCATTGAAAGATACCATAAATAGTCACTCCTCTTTGCTTCTGTATGCTCTTTCTTGTCATGAATCAATTGACGACATATTGAACACTGTTTCATTGGGTTTTGAATCTCTTCTTTATATGTATCAAGAACTGATGTAACGATGGAACTCATCTCGTTTTTATAATTGTCGATAACTGTTATCAATGAGTATTCATTCATCCATCTAGCAATTTTTTCCTTGTATTCTTCTGACAGTCGTTTGCCGACATGTAACTTGAAAAGGTTGATATTGGGCTTAGTTTTGTTACTGTCATCATTTTTTTCAGCATCGTACCGTTGTTTAGAATCTTCGGTTGATAATGTTTCATACGCTTTTTGAAGAAGTTTGAACAAACGCTCATCATTAACACTATTGAAGTTCTTATCAGGATGCCATTGGAGAGCTCGCTTTTTGTACGCCTTGCGAATGACTTCATTGGAAGCATTACGATCGACGCCGAGAATTTCGTAGAAACACGTGGCATTCTCCAAACTCATTAGGATCTAAACAACACCACAGCTCACTGCTTTGAAAAGTAACTATGTCTTTCCTTGGATAAAAAAATGGCTTGCAAATTTTAAAGATCATTGATTTTCCTAGAGAACGATCTTGGTTCCCGACTGACAGTAGCAAGCTACTAGCATAGCAATGGAGCAATAGTCGGTGAGAACGCAATACTCAGAAATGCTGTTCTATTTGTCAGTTTCAAAGGCATGGTTCAATAGAAATGTACTTTGCATAAATGTGAACAACACTGTTACGGAGTGTCGGTGTGAGTGTAGGTGTCATACCTGCACCCTATGTGATATACAGTGGACGTCAAAAGTCTCGCACCACTTTTTTGTTTTGAGTCGTGTATTTAAACTACACAACATTAATTCAATTCAATTATATGTTTGGATAGCAGAGATCGAGTACTATATATATA